GAGAAGAAGGAGCAATATAGACGATATGAAGGATGCAGCTACACTGAAATTAGATGCAAGCATGATTCTTGTTTCTCGTGTTATGTGGAGTGGAGGTTGCTAAAAGAGCATGAAGAAAACTGCAAACACCGACCAGCTACATGCACTTATTGTAGCATTTTCAAAGGCACTTTTGAGCAAGTGGAGTACCATCACAAAATTTGCGATATGTTTCCTGTGCCTTGTACAAATAAAGATCACAAGGGCTTCATTATTCAGCGAAAGAAACTTCAGCATCATCTTGATACTGACTGCCCATTCCAACCAATAGATTGCCAGTTTAAGTGGGCTGGGTGCAATGATAGGCCAAAGCATAAAGATGAGGACCAGCACAATGCTACCAGCCAACAGGACCACTTACTACTGCTAGCTGGGACTTGCTTTCAGTTGAAAAAGGAAAAGGATGAATTAAAGAAACAATTGGAAAAGGAAAACAAAAGTTTAAGGAAGCAACTGAATGAGGCCAATCAAAAGCTGAATCGTATTGCTCAAACTACTCAAGCACATGCAAGTAGTGTAGAGAGGCTTAATTATACTGTGTTTGGTGACCTTCCAGTCACTGGTGATGAAAACGATCCTGTTCGTGTAAAAGCGAATGGTCAGCCAGTTTTTTCTCTGATGATTGCAGATACAAAATGACAGTGAAGTTTGGCAATATTGGATTTTTAACATTCGATAATATAGAATTTTGCGTGTTTCGAAGTAGTCATAAAGTAATACCCGGCATCACAAAAATTGTCATAAGAAGTGATAAACATGATGAACCAATTGTACTTCGTAGAACTTCTCTTGCTAAGAAAGCTAGTGATTATCAAAATATGTATTATGCTCGTATTCCTGGAAGATATAATGTAGATGATATTATTCGTATTATTAAGGTTTCTTGACTTTGCGATATTTAGTAATACTCTTTTATCATATGATTTCAGAGAATATTGTTAGATAAACAATTAGCCAATGATTAGTGAGTCTTTTAATGAAAAGCAACACAACTGGTCTAACTCAAGAAGAACTCCTCATGTCATGGTGGGAGGGGCAGGGGGAGGTACCTAATGAATATTCTAATAATGGTCGTCGAAAGATACTCTCTCTTCTTGATCTCATGGATGTATTGTTGTTGGCCACGCCCACTTTAAAGTTGCAGTATTTTGACGGGGGACGTACTGAGGAGGTGGTGAGATATTGTGAGAGGGAGGAAGGGGGCGTGGCTTATATTGATGTGAAGACTCTTCATAACTCGTTGATTAATGAGTTAAGTGGATTACAAGGAGCAGCTGCTCTCTCACAGAAACCATACATACTAAAAGTAATTTATATGTATGCATATAAATTTTACATGACATGTTTTTTTACATGTACATGTATGTTTTATGTTTGTATGCATTGTATGTTCATGAACTTATTAACAACAGTATTAATCTAAAAGTATTCTTAAGGTTGTTTTTTGCCACCTTGAACACGTGTGTAGTTGGCATTTATTTCTTCTTATTAAGAATTATCTACATGTACCTTCTAATGGTTCTGGAGAAGTGCAAAATTTTTGTTTTATCTTGCTGCTAAAAAAACTAAAAAGCTCAAAATTGTCCTATCATCTGCATGGCACCATTTTGTGAACTTAACGTCATAGTAATAAAGATAGACATGTACATGACTACTATATGTAGGTAGGAATTTTATCCAACCTACTGAATTGTGTATGAATATTTTTAGTGGCTATAATGAGATTTAATGGTCTTGATTTCCATTATGTAACCATGACAATCAAAGTGTCAACAGAACCTCAAAGGTCAAGTATTTTAAGTAACTATAAAGAAGCTGGAATTTGTTAGTATCGCAATGGCTGAAGGCAGCTCCTCAGTATTATTTTTGCCAAAGGATACTAAGGTATCTTTTGTTAAGCCACCACCTGAGGATTTGGATGTTTATTGTAAAAAATGTCATATTTTTATGCAAAATCCTCACCAAACCTCTTGCTGTGGAGTACATATATGCAAAAGTTGTCAGGAATCGGCAAAGGCTACATGTCATTTTTGTCCCCCTGGCAAATACGTTTATAATGCTTTCCCTGACCGTGCTCATCAAAGAAGAATAACGGCATTAGAAGTTCACTGCATACACCGTGCAAAACAGTGTGAGTGGTCTGGCAAACTGGAAGATTTATCTGCTCATCTTAACTACCGTGAGAAGGAGTTGTTTAAACGGTATGAAGGATGTAGCTACACTGAAATCAAATGCAAGCATAATAATTGTGGTTTCTTTTATCAGCGGTGGAAGCTAAAGGAACATGAAGATAGCTGTGAGTATCAACCAGCTACATGTGAACATTGTGGGGTTCACAAACGCACCTTGAAGGAAGTGAAGACTCATTATAATTCTTGTCCAAAGTTTCCTATGTCTTGTACAAATAAAGATCACAAAGACTTCAAAATTCAACGGGAGAAACTCCAGTATCATCTTGATTTTGATTGCCCATTCCAACCGATAGATTGCCAGTTTAAGTGGGCTGGATGCAATGATAGACCAAAACGTGAAGATGAGGACCAGCACAATGCTACCAGCCTACAGAAGCACTTACTACTGCTAGCTGGGGCTTGCGTTAAGCTGCAAAACGAAAACAAAGAAATGGGAGAACAATCGAAAAAGAAAAATGAAGAATTGAGGGATGAATTTAAAAAGGAAAATGAAGAATTGAGGGAACAATTGCAAAGGGAAAGTGAAGACTTAAGAAAAAAATTGGAAAGCGATAAGGAACATCTAAGGAAGCAACTGAATGAGGCCACTCAAAAGCTGAATAGTCTTACTGAAATTGTGAAGAAGCTTAATCATACTGTATTTGGTGACCTTCCAGTTACTGGTGATGAAAACAATCCTGTTCGTGTAACAACAGATTGCCAACCAGTCTTTTTCTTCTCTGATAATTACAAGTTCAGAATGTCAGTGCAGTTTGGGAAATTCAAAATTTGGGGGGGTCATAATTTTGAGTTCAAAGTATACCGGGATGGACATAGGGTAATACCTGAAGTTACAAAAATTAAAATAAGGAGTGACAAATGTGATCCACACATATTGGAAATTAATGCAGCTGATCTGGCAAAGTATTTTAGGGCTGAGGTGTGCGAAAATGTATATTATGTTTATATTCCTGGGAAATATAAAGTAGAAGACAGTGTATCTATTATGAAGGTTTCTTGACTTTGAAGATATAATTTCAGGAGCCCATGATAATTTTTAATAGTCTTATTGTAATAATGTTATTTTTATTTGCCTCATGTGTATTTATAATGCTCTATTTTAAGAAATTAAGCTATAAAATTATAAATTTTTATTGTTGTGTGTGGTTTTATAGGAGATACACAATATATTGGAGGTTATTGTGAGAAGGAATAATATCAATGAGATATCTCATTCACGCCAGCTCTACATTGAGTCATGGCAGCAGGTGGTGGAGGTATTGATGAGTGTAGTCAATGAGGAGGGGGAGAAAGAATCACTGAGGATTGATGTGCTTTTTGAATTAATTCAAGATTTACTATTAAAGGTAAAGAGGGGGGGAGAGCATTCAGTAATAGAAAGTTTGGTTAGATGCATGTGTTTATTTATGTAGCTACTATTGTTAAATATTTTTAATGCTATTTTATTTGTGTATTCATTGCAGGTTGAAGGTACTGAACCTAATTCCCTAACTGCCATTATATTTTCAGTGATATTCACACTAATGGCTCATCTCCGTCACACTCTCTCAGTATCATCAGAGAGAGAACAAGAGCAAGGTAATGCTGTTCATCTAGCCAATGCTGGCCCATTGCAGTCTATACTGAGGAGACTGTTGAACAACCTCCTGGTCTGTCCTTCTGGGATGCAACGACTTCGTTCTTATCTTTATGCTACTCTTCTCTGCTACCTCAACATGACTAAAGAGAGGGAGACAGAACTAGGCAGCTATCGTGGTAATAATACATAGACCTATTTAATATTACTTTATGCATGCACATGTATATACTTGCACACTAATTAACTGAATGCTAATGTTATAGCTGTCACTATGTTTGTGCCAAATTTGCTGTTGTTTAAAGGGACACGTTCACGGAAATATGTGCACAGGTTACTGTAGAGGAAGTAAATATTAGTAATGCGGTAGTATGGCATGCCGTTTGTAACAAAATTCCCAAGTCTATGATGTCACATTGTAAGCTTAGAATGTCACATCCTAAGCTTAGAATATCACATTCTAGTGTATTTTGCATGCATGAATACCGTAGATCAGGAAATTAGTGTGGTAGAAAATTTTTGTGTTTTAAAATTGTGCTGTGATTTAATTTTTACTAAATAAAACTGTGTCGTGTATTATTAAATGTGACATGTAATTTATATGGGTAATCTAATTTTTGCGCAATTCTAATTCAGTACAATTTAAATCACAATAAAAGTTTCCAGATAGACAGCATTTAAAAATCCACTACAGACTGATAATATCTTACTATAGCTTATAGGCTCACTAATTTAATGCTCATTTATCTAGTAAATAGGGTTTGTTTGTAGGTGGTATGTGGTACGTGACAAAACTGGGCAGTTATCGTGGTAATGAACCATGATAGTATCTTGTTTTATTATTACTTATGTACAGGTGATTAATCACTGGTATGTGTACTCAATATTTACTATAATTGGCACTGATATGTACCAAATTTCCTGATATGTACCAAATTTATTTAGCTCCTTTGTATTTTCATAGCAATCCGTGGTAGCAAAAGCTGAATATTTTCAAGAATATACCACTTTTCCTAGCCAAATCTTCGTGTTTCACTCTATTTGGTCAAGATTAGCATTGATAGGCAGAGAAAAGTACATAGATTTGGGAATTTTCTAATCTCTTTTTTGTTTGCGAGTTACAGTTGCTCAAAGTTTGTGATTTAGCCTCTTCGAAAAATTTTCAGGCAGCACTGGGGAAAGCAGGAGCAACCAAACTATCTAGGTCTCTTTTAAATATCTAGGCAAATTTTTTGTGCTTACTCTTTCTTTGAATAGAGCTTCAGATGCTAAAATAAATTTCAGCTTTTCTTGTTTCTCTACCCACGTGCCATGTTTATCTGCACTGCACTGCTAAGTGCTGACCACACCTAAAATTCATTTTATGGGTCAGTGGCTCAGTGCAGTAATTGCATTGTTGCACTTTGTCAAAATCTATTATCCTTTTTTCAAATATCAAATTGCTTATAATGTATTAGAGCTGAAACGGATGTGGTATTTCACTATCCGGATATCCTGTTGAAATTTCTTTCGGATATTTGCCGGATAGTTAATTAATAAAAGTTAATTAGTTAGTGACTGCAGACATCAAAAAAGCAAAGTTTTTATTCCCCAGGATGTTATTCTTGTACATTTCTGGTAGTTAAGAAGCTCAAAAATGATTAAGAAGTGGCTGACAAGGTTGGTAGCTTCAAGAACTTACTCTTTTATTGCTGGTCATTAACTGACAGAATTGCATTAATTAGTTATAAAATCTAGTTATTAAGTTTAATTATCCTATTTGTCAAAAATTACTATCCGGATACTAAATTTATAAACGGATATCCAGATAATCAGGATATCTGTTTCAGCTCTATAATGTATAATATCATGATGGGGGCAGTACAAGTAACACATTATCCCTCAGGTGAATCTCAGCAGGCGAGTCCACGCACCATGGTGCTTCATTACTTATGCACTAGAGAATACAGACGATTAATCACTGCATGGTGTGTGTATTCAATATTTACTATAATTGGCACTGATGTGTACCAAATTTCCTGTTTGTACAAGGAAAGGAATTAAAGTTTATCCTTTTTGTTTGATACACACCATGCAAATAAAATACATGTATTTGTGCAGAATTGAATTTTGTGAATTTGTGAATGCATCCAAACTGCTACATTAAATTTGAACTATCTCAATACAACAACTGTCAAAATATAAAACCTTAAACTGTCAATAAAGTTATTTTTAAAATTTGCAATTTTTTTCTCTTCAAAGTGCTATACAGTATGTCACATAAGTATCCCATTGAATTATCAGTTGGTATGATTTGGTAAAGAAATATTGAATTTGACTTTGCCTGCTGGATTTTTTGCATAGTACAATGAATATCTACTACAGACTGATAATATATCTATAGCTTATAGGCTCACCTATTAAATGCACATTCATCTAGTAAATTGGGTCTGTTTGTAGGTGGTATGTGGAGGCTGGAGAGTGATGTTTCATTGGGTTCCATTAATTTGAGTATTCTCTCTGGCTGTGGGGATAACCTAATGGATACTGTTTGCAGAGACGCCTGCAGTGGACATGATGTGCCTAAGGTACTTCATTACATGTAGCTTAACGTCATTTTTATACACATATACTTGATTACTTGTAGATGCTGTCTCTTTCAATTCTGGAATCAATTATATTTCTTGACAAGCATAATGTTTGGTTAAAGTTCCTCATATCAAGGTACACATGTGCTTTTCACTTTCTCTTGAATTTATTTTATTTATTTGTTAATTTTTTTGACAGAGGCTATCTTTTAAGTATTGTATCCAGTCTTCAAGAAGAGAATGATTCGTTACAGAAGATGTTACACCCACAGCCTGATGCATTGAGACCACTCTATGTATATGAGTCTAAAATGGTTAGTTCTACACTGGGTGTTTGCTATTGGACGTTTTGATTTTATCAAAAATATATAATTATTAAAAAAATACTGCACCAGTAAATACTATACAGTGTACAGTAGTCAAACTAAAAACATTAAAACAAACTCAGTAAACTAATATCAACAACTTTATATACATGTGGTCACGTACAGTATACTTATTACTGTAATGATACTTAAGTCTTGATGTATATCTCAACGAGTTCAATAGGGGTGGCTTCATCAGGATATGACTCAGTGGAGCAGATCCTCATCTCAATATCATCAAGAGTTGACTGGTTCAACACTTTGAGAAACCAAGGCATTTTAGAAGAGGCACAGCAAGGAGACTCAAGACCATTGCACTGCTGACCATCCCAGAGTGTATCGTTAGGATAAAAAGTATCAACAGCAACACTGTCTGTAGCTGACTCACAATAATAATCATTACCAATGAAAGATGGGAGAGGGTCTCCAGGGTAGCCAGTGTTGCATGGACAGGCAAGTAATGAAGTATCATTTTCCTCTTTCCCTGCACTGTAAGTCCATATGTGGGTACGCGGGTTGCTCCCGTGAGTAATGGAGATACCATCGCTGTAAGCTCCATCAATGGTTATGGAGAATTGTTGTAAATTTATAAAACTGTCTGGATGTCCAAATTGATATCCTTTAACTTGTCCACACACTCGAGTGTAGTTTAGTCCAATGCTTGAGTAGAACATGGAGCTACACCCGTTAGAAAAGGAGTACGATTTATCACAGAACTCCTGATTGTTGTACGTTTGGGTGTAAAGTCCTGGAGGACAGGTGGACCCAGGCTCTCTCATGTTAAAGTATCCTACCCTCATCCAGCCACCAGCACCATCACAGTTACTGCCCTCCATATCACAGTACACACTGACAATAGTCTCATTAGTTAGAGTGATGTCATAATAGCCTGATGTAGCATTGGGTGATCTCTCCAGTATCTCACTACAGGACCTGTCATTAAATATACCTTTACTCTCACACACTGACTGTGGTGATCCACCAATGGGACAGAAGATGAGGCTCAGATGATTATTTTGTCTTAGTTTGATTGCTTTTCCATGATTAGCAATCAAGCAGCAGTGCTGGTGGAAGACTGAAGGTCTCTGATAGCCAATAGTTCCACATGGGGCCTTGTTGTAACATGATGAAGTAGCAGCAGTTACAAGTACTGCCTTAGAAAAGAGGAGAAGTAGGAGAAGAGCAACTAAACTGTAGCCTTTCATTTTGATTAGCATTTCCTTTACACTTATATCAAGAGTGAATCCACTCTTGCTTATATTTATGCTATACTATTCAATTAGGGCTGGTATGAAATTTTTATGCTTTCTATAAATTATTTTTATTATTTTAGGCTTTTCTTATCCTTGTTGCATCAACCTCTCTTGGAGCCCGTGAATTAGTGTCTAAAAACTGTGTATCGATCCTCTCAGAGTGTAGGTTTATTGATCAGCGCCCCATGCACACAGCTACTGGTAGAGGAGATGGTGAGTGTAGTCTAGTAGTTTGAGTATTGATGCTTTTGTTTTTGGAAGGTTTCATACCCTCCTTGTGGTCGAGGTATTTGTCATTGTTCCTGCCAGTTTTGAGATTTCTTCTCTCACTGTTATCAACCACTGGACCACAGCAGAAACAAGCAACTAGTCAAGTAAAGGAATTAGTTTATTTATTAAGCATTGTGTATCTCTTTATTTTTTCTCTATCTGTCATGCATGTGGTACACACTTCTTTCTCTCTCTCTCTTTCTCTTTTTCTCTCTTCAAAGGTGATTGATTTCATTGCTTCTCATAATGAGATATTTGTCTCATGCCTCAAAGAAGGAAGCTCCTCTCTCTCCTTGACAGCTCTGCAGGAACTCTCCCTGGTTACTGCTGTAGTCAGCCAGTGCAGGGCAGGTAAGGATTACATGTATAGTTAAAAGTATCAAGGAGTTGTAATTGTGATCACATATATATATATATATATATATATATATATACATGTAAGGGTCGCATATATAGTTTAAAAGTGGCAATGAATTTCTTAATTGTGATCATTCTTTGATTTTTTTTATGAATTTTCCTCCATAAAGAACTTTCTTTGGTTTATTTTAAATTGATTTTTAAATCTTTTTTTAGGTCAAGACTGGATGTTAAAGCTTGCCCAAACCCCGAACCTCCTTCACTTGCAGAACCTTGTCCTCTCTCTCCTTCCATTTTACATGTTCCCTTCAAAGTGGACCCAACAGGAATCTGATGGCTGGAGCAATATCAGTGGGAGTCTTGGGGCCGGAGCTTCATTCGAGGACCAGTTTGATCTCTCTCAGAAGATAACCACTAATTTAGTTCTTTATTGCCATAATGCTGTCTCTCTTGGAGGTATGCAACAATAGAACATGTATTCGTATCAAAAAATATATATAAATGGATAATTCTTTTCTAGTTGTTTTTTTTAAATTGCAGTCATATTTGACCCCATGTCTGTTGCATAGTGTCCTTGTTCCATTTCTTTCATAATGCATTGAAATACTTCCTGTTACTTATTGTTTGTGTAGGCACTGAATCACCTTCTAGAGGTTCAAGGATAATTTTTTCTTGTGATCTCTCAAAGGGGAATAATGCATTGCCAGGTATTTCTCAAAACTAGCAATAAGTAATAGTTTTTAGGTTTTTAATTATAAATGCAATTTTATATGTACAGTCAAACCTCTCTAAAACGGACCCCCAATTAGTGGACACCTCTCTATAACGTACAGTTGCTCTTGCCCTGGCCATAAGGCCATTGAGTAATGTATAAAAGAACCTCTGTATAGCAGGACCTCTCTATTCTGTATAATGGATGAAGTTTACTGTCCCACACATCTACACATGTACAAATTAACCTCCAACAGACGGACACGGCCCACGCAACGGACTTTCTAATTAACACGCATCTGGCAAGAAAGTGGCGGATTTTCTGGTCTGATTAGCATGGGATAACCTCTGATTTAAGGACACCTCCATATAAAGGACAGTGATGGCTGGCCCATAGGTGTCTGTCTTAGAGAGGTTTGACTGTACTTGCATGGTTATAGTCATTATTCATATATATTATATAAAAATGTACTTTCAGGGCTTTATGCCCATTCAAAAATTTTTTTAGAACTCCATCAGTATCTGCTTCGTATGGTGCCTCTCTTCTTATCAGCCCTTGCTGCTTAAATAGCATAAAATATTGGTGAGGCTATCATGGGTTGCTTGGCAGGCTTATTAGCACCTGTAACAACTGTTATTTTTGCTATAAAAATAGTCTCCTCCTGTGTTTATAGAGCACTTTCTCAATAGACCCCAAAGTTCTCCTATAGGGGGTATATTTCCCTGGGGGGAAATATTTCACAAAAATCACCTTTCAACCCTATTCACAAGAAAAAATTTTTTGCATTTTTTTCCACTGACTATTATTAGTATGATAAAAAAATTAATGATTGTCATAAAATTTTCACAGATTTTTTAAAACTGTGAAATTAAGGAAATTAAATCCCCGTGAATATGCTGCCTATATGGTATTTTGGTTCCCCCACTCCTCTTGTAACACCACAGAGGATGGTATCTTGAAAGGGGCACCATGTAGCTCTAGATTTTTGTCAGTCAAAAATTTTATCAAAATTAATTTTTATTGATAAAATTTTTGTCACTTCTGTTATAAAACGGTGTACTACCTATGTAGAGCAAAAATTTTAAAATGCCTGACAAATTTGATGCTGTATATGAAGTTATACAGGGTAGTCAATGTGAATATAATTATTACTATTATACTACCGTATTAGTGTTATTATTTGTTGTTTGTTAGGTTCATCTGGTTTGTCCCTAGCAGTCCTCGTCTCTAGTCTTGAAGGGATGAGTGATGAGTATTTCAATGTGAGAGAGAAGCTCGGACAACTTGAGAGCAAGTTAGAAGGATTGAAGAACATGACATCAGAAGAAATGAAGCAAGTAAGGCACTTTGTAGGACCCTAAGATGTGCCTATTGACCAGATGTGCTCATTAAAAATATGATCCCAACATTGATTATAAATTTGGTCAGAAACTATACACAGCATTTCATCACAAAATGACATTTTAAAAAAATGAGCCAATTTTTTAAAAGCAGAGACTATAGCCCATGGTTTTTACGAAAATTGGCTCTAAAATTTTTACTACATTTTCTGATACATATTTATGTCCTTATGCTACGTAGCAAGTTTGAGCTGTTTCCAAAAAAACATTTTTTGAGTCATTGCCATTTTGAAAATCGGCCAATTTTGAAAAAAAGCAAAGGCTATAGCCCATGGTTTTTTCCAAAAAATGGCTTCGAAATCACCCCCAATTTTTATTGTATTTTCTGATACATATTGATGTACTTATGCTGTGTAGAAATTTTGGTTTGATTCTGACTTAAATTTTTTGAGTTACGGCCATTTTAAGAAAATACCAAAATTCTGAAAAGTATAGCCCATGGTTTTTTCCAAAAAATGGCTCTGAAATCACCCCCAATTTTTATTGCATTTTCTGATACATATTGATGTACTTATGCTGTGTAGAAATTTTGGGTTGATTCTGACTTAAATTTTTTGAGTTACGGCCATTTTAAGAAAATGCCAAAATTCTGAAAAGTACCTAAGGCTATAGCCCATGGTTTTTTCCAAAAAATGGCTCCGAAATCACCCCCGATTTTTATTGCATTTTCTGATACATATTGATGTACTTATGCTGTGTAGAAATTTTGGGTTGATTCTGACTTAAATTTTTTGAGTTACGGCCATTTTAAGAAAATGCCAAAATTCTGAAAAGTACCTAAGGCTATAGCCCATGGTTTTTTCCAAAAAATGGCTCCGAAATCACCCCCGATTTTTATTGCATTTTCTGATACATATTGATGTACTTATGCTGTGTAGAAATTTTGAGTTGATTCTGACTTAATTTTTTTAAGTTACGGCCATTTTTAAAAATTTACCAATTTTTGAAAAAAGCAAAGGCTACCGTATAGTGGGTAAATTTTGAGGGGCTAAATTTTGGTGATTGACAGATTTTAATTTGGCGAATTTGTGGCCACGTGCCATTGAGCATGCGTATAATGGCTCAAAATGGCGGATTTTTATTTTGGCGAATGGCTATCAAAATGCCAAATTTAATTCCCTCCAAAATTACCCTCTGTACGGTATATCTACCTCATAGTTTTTTCCAATAAGTAATGAGACTGCGTTACTGGTATTTTATCAAAAACTGCTAGGAGAGAATAATATTACATTTTCTGATAAATATGCATATACATGTGAAAATTGGAAGTGATTCCGAATTATCTTCTTTTTTTACCTGCTCTCTCTCTCCTCTTTTACTTTAGCTTTATTCTGATGTGACTACTGATGACACTGCCCAAATCTCTCCTTTGCAATTACACCAACAGCTCAAGTCAGTTCTAAATAGACTCGTCTCAAACAAGCAGCAGCAACTGAAGCACTTTATTTGTAAGTATAATTGGCAAAAGTATAAAATTTTGTGCTTTGAGTTTTAGAAGAAATAGTATATCTACTTTCTTTCAATAATAATTATAGTCGTCTAATTCTACTTCTTATTTTTTTACTTTAATTTTTTTCTTTTTATTTTTAGATACTGTGGAACATTTGTTGTCAGTTCTTTGGTCTCATCTTCAGTTTTATTTAGTTCATTGTCAGCCAACAGAAGAATATCATCAACAATCCATTAGTCAGTTCTCAAGCAAACCAATCAGAAACTTACAAGGTTTATTAATCACTAGAGTTTTGTTATACTGTATAGCTGGTAATTTTGGAGAGGGAAATTTTACTACATTAAGCCAATCAGGGTTTCTTGCAAAGCATGCTAAGTGAGCTAAACAGTATACTTCATGAGCTGACAAGCACTACAATACAGTGCAAGGAATTTGGAGTGACTTTAAAAATTCATAGAGAATCCAAATTTGATCGGAATCAGCTCAAAGTTGATATACAGCATAAGGACATGTATATGTATCAGAAAAAATTATAAAAATATAAATATCTCTCCTAGTCATTTTTACGAAATTTGGCCAAAGATCAAAGGCTATAGTCTTTGGTTGTTTTCCTAATTTTTGAGCAACTTTAAAAATTAATACAAATCTAAATTTGATCGGAATCAGCTCAAAGTTGATACACAACTTAAGAACATGTATATGTATCAAAACAAAATTAATTATTAAAATGGTGAATTCTCTCCTTGTGATTATCCTGTGCTATAGTAGTACAGGGACTTTGGCCCAATTTTTGAGGAACTTGACAATCCACTTACAAGAAGCTGCATATATTTGAACTATTTGTGTGCATGCTCCATGGAACATGGCCTCAAATATGCCCACCAATCACCAAAACTTAGCAATTTACTGCTATATATACTGTATGGTTTACCTACATGTAACAATTCAATGCTAATGCATTTGTATTTGGATCAGCCACTAAATTTTATGCCATTTTAAGCTAAATTTTTATAGTATACGAAATTATTTTTAGTTACCAATTCTGTATGATAAACTGTTATTGTGCATACTTGTGTGTAGGTGCTGGTGGTCAAACCAGTTTTTCTACAAGAGATGGTAGTAATCAGTTTAATGTCTCATCGGCTGGAGTTACACTGAAAGATTTGGAAGAGGTACGATTGTTTTTTTATGATCTCATAGCTCTCTCTTTTTAGTCATTTAGCATAAATATTAAGCTAGGTTTAGAGTTAACGTAATGGTCAAAAATTGCATAGAAAATCTGACCTTTTGACGTCAATAGTGCTTTGAAGTTGACATAAAATTGGCCAAATTTTAATTTTACATTGCGTTTTGTGTCAAGTGGTAAACCAGGGTTTATAGGAGGTTGTAGTTATACATAATTTCCTTTTGTTCTATTCCTTAAAAGCATGATATTAATTTTTTGTTTCTGTCCTCTAGTTGAAGTTAAATGCTGTTAGCTCATTAAGTGATTCATTCTTTAAGAAACTCCTTGATGTGAATGAGGCAAGCCAATACCAAGAGTAGATACTAGAAATCCATCCTTCATTTCTCTTTCATAGGACTATATGTCACTAAATGAAGAGCTTTCAATGATTAGTTTCATTGAAGCGCTTGTGAGACGAATAAGGAAACTACTCAAACTGAGGGCAGCAGCCAGACCAGTCCTTAAACTATAGTTCACAAACACTCACTTCCTCACTTCTACTACTTCTTAATTTTAGTTTCATTTTCGACTACTTCTTAGTTGTAAATATTTTGTTATTAATGCTAATAACTTACATTATATTTTAATCACTTGATTACGTAAGTAATGTTAGCGTGTTTGTATAGCTAGATAATTGGTGCGATCTGTCCCTGGTGCAATTGTTTTAAACATTGGAAGTGAAAGCTGAAATTTCTGCTTGCCGCTAGCAAGAGTACATAATATTAGGTATACTCTTGCTGCTAGGCATAAAGACTGCACTATTATTGATTGATGAGGTTTCAGTAATTGTTTAGAAAAAAGTTGCATGAAAAGAGAAGCATCAAAAAATAGTCCTAACAAAAATATTTAATTAATAAAAAGTCCTATATTGCTTCTTCATGCACTTATTACATTAGAGCAGTTCATTGTTTGTTGCATCCAAGATCAATGGGAACTTTACCAGAGATATCAATCTTTGCACATCCTCCTTGATTATTCACACCAAACCCATTGCATCCCATTCCATTGGTCCAGGGTTTGTAAGGTAGTGTACCAGCACCTCTATCATACCTTGGCTTGTAACAGCTCTTTGGTGGCCACCACTGGTAGCAGTATAGGCCCATGTCATCATACTCTGGTCCACAGAAATAGCTACAGTATCCCCAGCAAACTGTAGCAACTCCCATGTAGTTTTCTTTGCATTTTGGATAACACAGACCAGCATCATTTTCTTCATCTTCATCACATCCGTCCTTTGCGCATGTGTTTGTTGCTGTGCGTAATGGAAAATCTGCACTAGCAAGAAGAGAGCACTTCTTATAGCATAATCCAAGATAGTTCTCCTCATCATCAGCACAACCAATAGTTACTGGACCAACCTTTATTCCACATGCTTTGTGAACTAGAAAAAAATTAATTCACAATATGGAGTACACTTGCAAGAATCTTAATTACGATCAACACAGCCAAGCTTGACTAGTAAGTAGTAAACGCAAATTTCAGTTCCATTAACTTCAACTTTAATGTTATCCAGAATACCTTTAAGAAGAAAAATACGTTAGGACTGAGTCTTAACCACATAAGTAGAAAGTATGCACTTTTATAATTATCAGAGACAAGTGCTGTGCCTTGTGGTGGTGACATTGCTTTGATCGTGTTCATAACTTCATTTCTGTTTCTAAAAGACATCAATAGCTTTTGCTTTATTATGATACATTATAGTTTTACCTGTAGTGATCATGGTGGTAAGACCTTGTCTCTGTATAGAAATGATCATACATTAACACATAGAGCTACTGACATACCTGGCATAGCCAGGACACAAACACTGAGAGTCATAATAAAGAAGAATACAAGAGTTTTCATTGTGATTTTCCTTCTTTGCTTGCTGCATTGAAAATCACCTTCTTATATAGCCTGAACACTGTTCAAATGAATATTAGGCACTAGACACATTAAGAGACTCATTACAAATGTTTGCATGGTCTGGCTCTGTTAATTATCATAGTCTAGCACAAATAGATAGTACACTATGCTATCATAATTGCAATTTTGTGATAACGATTTTTAGAACTAACAATTGAGCTATTCACTACAAAAAGATTTTATTTTCATTAATAAATCAAAATAATTTTTTTAGCCAAAGTCTATATTTTTTAAACAAGAGTCAAGCAGATCTATTGTATTATAGGTTCATTTTTACATTTACCAAAAGTACACTACCTCCTATTGATGAGTTACATATTAATTAGAGTTATTGCCTTTGTTTGTAGTGTCTTCATTGAGGAGCTCTGTATCTGCTGTAGAGTGTAGATACACCTTTATGGGTAGTCTTGTTTAGACATCGTGCTGCTGGAGAATGTAAATGAAGCCCAAATTTTATTAGCAATTGTGCAACTTCACACCTCAAGGTGTGAACAAGGTGCCAAAAACAAGTAATAAGTATCATAAATAATTATCCACTCTTGGTATCATAAATAATCTTTCAATAATAATTTGAATAGATCAATACAGGTGCAGAAACAGAGAACAAAAGTAATAATAATAATGATGATAATAATAACAACAAATAATTATTCAAAAATACATGCAATAGTTTCTGAAAGCACAACTAAAAACAATTATATATGTACTGAAAATTAAGTCACAAACATCATAATGTATAATACAATGACAATAGTAACTATGCATATAATAAATTATTAGTAAAACATTCTCTCATTATGATATGATGGTATTATTGTATTAGACTAGTTCATCCTGGTATCCCATGTGGTGGGAGTTTTGAAGCTTCTCTGGCCTTTATAATCGTAGCCCTGGCCATGAACTGTCTTCTGGATAAATCTCTAACATGCTAAAGGAGAGATGTTATACATTATTATCAAAAATATAGAGAACAAAATTCAACAAAATACATGTACTAGTAATAGTAATAAATAATGCCATATTATATAGGCATTATGATCAAAATGTGCTTTGCATTATAGCTATAGATTGTACCTTTAAGAATGCTTCTGAAGTGATGACTCCTCTCCTCAAAGCTTCTCCTAAGTAATAGATAGTATCATCAATAGCATTCTCTTCAGCATATAGTCTCAATATTCTATATTAGAAGGAAATTCATTGATATGTAATAATCATAACTAATAACTATCATTCTCTTACTGATTGTGGACTGGGTTTGTAGCAACTATAGCTTCGTCAATATTAAACTCGTCAGGTTGACTTTCAAGATACTCTATGATGCTATCAACCTCAGCAGTTTTCTGTCTTAGTGTATCAATACTGGAATTAACCTCATTCTATAGATAGAAGGTGAAAGAATTTCAACTACAATCTCTTTCTCACTTGTTTTGTCTCCATTTCCCTTAACATTTTTGTCAGTTTCTCATTATTATCTTTCAATTTTTTCTGTGTGTCATTCAATGCCTTCATCTCGTCCTATTAATCATCTAAAAGTCATGTGACCATCACCTGACGTTACCTCAGCACGTTCCATGATATTCTGGAGCTGTCTCTTTATCTTGTCCTCAACAGCACTCTCCAGACTGATCCTATTTTCTTTGGCTCTCTCTCTTTCCTCCTCCTCTTTCTTTCTCCTCTCCTCCTCCGCTGACATCTGAGGCTGAGCATTAACAACACCACCAGGCTAATAAAAAACAACAAATAAATAAATACATTATACGTTATTAATATAATTATTATAGATAAGTTGTTACAGGCTAACAACCTCTGAATGTTAGATTAATTAACACAATTATCAATGAATATTTGACTTAATTAATGAATAGTTGCCTGAACTCATACCACTTACATACATAGACACACATACACTGCACTAACTACTAATAGACTTCAATCAATAATTACATAGAATTCATAATCCAATTACCCGTTCATATATTAAATACACTAGAGCCATATCCATACCTGAGGATAAGGAGGGATGTACCCACTTGGGCCGGGGGGATACCCTCCTCCAGGGTGACCCTGTGGCGAGGGATAAGGAGGTTGATTATATCCTCCGGTTGGATAAGGAGCTGGTTGCGGTTGGTATCCACCAGGGGTTGGCATTGAGGCCTGTACAGGGTAAGGGGTTGGTCCTGGATACCCTGGCTGACCACCTGGTTGTGGATAGGGTGGGTGCTGTGCTTGAGGATAAGGATTATATCCTGGTTGAGGTTGTGGTGGTGGGTGTGCATGTGGTGGTCTGTAAGCTCCACCCCCTGCTGATGGTGGGCGGTAAGAGCCTGGTTGATTGTAGCCAGTGGCGGCCTGTTGACGACTGTAGACTGGAATATTATCAGCAAATGTGGCACATAATATTTGAATTAATGTGGCTAAATCACTTTTACCCTGTCAAAAGAGAGAGATAAACATAGAGAGACTCATAACCAGTTAACCACATGTGCATCTGTCAGGGTTCTATCCAGTGGGAGGGGGGCAGGGGAAGCTTCCCCCCAAACTCTTCAGCTTCCCCCCCCGTGTACTTCTGTAATTGTATGCATGTACTATACATGTACATACATACATGTATGTACACAACCCAGGGGCGTATCTAGGAATTAGGAAAGGGGGGGTGCTGAGGGCATGCGAAGCGCGCCGCGATTTTGGCCACACCCACTTTTACGGCGGTATAACGGCCTTTTCCTGCATTTTCGTCAATTACGGGTGGGGCCAAGATCATTTCAAGCATACTGCTATGTTACTGGTACTTCTGATTGCTCCTTAAAGCACTGGAAACTGCTGAAATCATGATCAGGGGGCTAGATAACTTTGTTAATAGGCTTGGTAGTGATGCAAGAGTCCAGGACTTCAGTAATTTTTTCTGAGCCCAGCCCTGAGGGGGGTGCTCAAGCCCCCTCAGCCCCCCCCCCCTAAATACGCCTCTGCAACCTCCCCCCAGTCAACTGCTCTGGGATTTCACCCAAACAAAAATTCCTAGATAGAACCCTACCCATATATCTGTAAGTAGAAGATACACATGTACTACATGTACATGTAAGTCTACAATACCAAGGTACATCAATAATGACATATCAAATAAAGGGGCTCGAGTAAAGCAGTATTACAGAAACCTTACCACCAGGGATAACAAGACTAGATTGATTCTAGTGGCAAGATTCTTAGAACATTACCAATACTGAAAGTTTACATACTTAATTTTCAGTAACTGTATGCATCAACTCTTAATGTGCTCTTAAATACAAACCTGCTTCCATTCAGATATATACGGTAGGTAAACACGCCCACTGTGATCAACAAAACGAGACGGATTAATACTCATCTCTGGAGTGGGTGTGACAAAAACTATCGGATTGATTTGCGGGTGCGTCCTTTGAACCCAAATAATAATAGGAATATTATAATTATTGCCTTGAGAGACAGAGAGGGGTAATAGGAGCAGGAGAGCGAGTGACATAAGAAAAGAACGAGAGATAAAGAAAGCAAAGTTGAACTAGTATTCTCTCATAAAGTAGTACCTCTAAAAGAAACAGGAATGGTCCCTTTTAATCTGAATAACATTTCCTTGCGTCCATCATTGTGAACTGAAAGAGAAAAAGATAAACACCATTACATGTGTATACATGATTATACAATGAACATACTATAATTGTCACTTCCTATTTTAAGATCTTTGTAATGCTGCAGAGACGCTTGTACATCCCTAGCAGCAAGATCCATTAACCGATACTGTGTAACATAAATATACCACACATAAGAAGTTATTTTGATGGGCTCACTAACCCCTTTCATGTGTGACTTGATGTCTTTTAAGTTCACAGCCATTTTCTGCCTCCTGACCTAAGACAACTAGGCTAATAGGAAGAGTGACATAAAATTTAAAGACAACAGACTTCCTCTTACCTTTCTAGGAGAAGAATCTCAGCAAAAATGGAGGAGAGATGAACAAGTATGCAAAGATGTAATAAGCCACACCTACTGTAAAGTCACGTGCATACCCGCCCACATTACGTCATTTTAAATTAACTTTTAATAAGTAAAATCACACCCACTTTCTAAAATGATATGATACAGCAACACAACACAAGACACACATGTGACCTCTCGCCTTTTTAATTTGCCAAAGCTGCTCGAGTAAGCTAATTTAAACTATCCCTGTCCTAGCTCTGTATTCTTAAGACAAGTACTTGAGCAAACAACAGGCGATTCTATAGATTCTCTCTTCATACACTCCAGACTTTAGCTTTTAAAGATGGAGGAAGGTGTCCCTAATGTGAATGTGGAGCCAGTAGCCCCTTACCCGGCCAAAGACATAGTCCACGAAGTAAAGAATGTGTTTATATACATACCAGCAGAGCTGTCTGCTACCGGGTTTGAACTGAAGATTAATGGATTTGTTAGGATTGTGAAAAAGGTATGTATGTATATACATGTATGTGTAAATGTTCATGCATAATTGGTTTTTTTGTTTGCTTTCTTTTTCCTGTTTATTCTACTAAATGCACTATTGTCACTGTTTTTTGTAATGTGCATATGCATGTAATTTTCTCTCCAGGAATCAGATAATTTACTGGTATGGGATCCTCTGGAATTAAGCTATCAAGATGTCGCCTGTCTCTTCTCCTCTGAGTCTGATGGCTGGACAATCATAGACGAGCCGTGTAAGTCAAGTGACGTGCACATTATCACATGATAATATTGTACATACTGCACCAGTTGTGTTGCTTTGTTAGCAAGTTGTCCTTCAGTGTGGCATGATTTAAATGGCACTTTATTGAATGGGATTTCTATTCACAATTGTATTTCTAATTTTTAAAAATCTAATCTAGTTTTTAGTTTCTTATTTTTATCAAAAGTACATTTGTATTTTTTTATTACAATTTTATATTTCTTTTTTTAGATGAGGTTCCAGTTATTGTTGATGAGCATGAATGCACTTATCCCAGTATTTATCCTAAGCTTGATCTCAAACCACCTGATCCTATTTTACCCACAGCTGCAACTGCTACTTCTCCTACTAGGAACAATAAAAATGGCGGGAATAAAGGGAGTCCTTCTGTCAGGTATAAGGTCGGGAATGAGGGAGAACAGAAAGTAGGAGGAGCCAAAGGAGGTATGATATGAGAAGATTACAATGTGATACGAATATTGTCCTTGTATGTGCATGTATGTGTATGTGAATGCTTTATACTGCATATACATGTACATACTACATAGTATAGTGGACACTATACAGCATATACATGTAAGATTTACCTTAGGTGTCCTTTGGCAGGGTTTCCCACAAAGCATGCTAAGTGAGCTAAACAGGATGCTTCATGGGCTTACAAGCACTACAATACAGTCCATTGTGTACATGTACTTTTAAAATTCAATTTGATCTGAATCAGGTCAAACTTTCTACGCAATATAAGTACATGTATACGCATCAGAAAATGAAGAAATCTCTCCTAACCATTTTTGTTGAAATTTGGCTGAAGACCCTATACTATGTCTTAGAGATTTTTAGCACTGTAACAAAATCCTATGGGAAACCCTGGTCTTTCATTGGTACACTAGTAGAGGTGACCACTATAGAGAGTGTTTATTGTTAAAAGAAGTTGCACTGCACTGTATTATTTATTGCTGTAGGCTCTTCTCCTGTGATTGCATCGTCTAAAACAAGTCCAGTTAGTTTCAGTCTCTCTCAATTGAAAATGGTTCGTGAGACCAACAGACGTGAGGGTACCAGACTCACCTTCTTCCTAAAAGATGGGAAGGAACTGCCAACACTTTCATTTCATGATGGAGGAACAGCAGGACTCTTGCAATCAATGCAACGGTTCCTATACTTAGTGAGGTATGTACTGTATGGGATTTTTGGATGTTTATTTTTTTCTTCATATTTATTGTGAATAACATAATCAAGATACCGTAATGATAACTTAACAACATGTATATGTGTACGTATCATTTAAATGGAGAATTTTCTCCTAGCTGTTTTTTATGAATTGTACATGTACTCTATTATTTGAGCAACTTGAAAAATGAAAAAACATTTTGTTAATTTGTTTTATGCTGACATTTTGTTTCTAATTTTATTATTTTAGGGATGGTAAAGATAATAGAATTATTCGTGTTGAGAAGAATCCTGTCGTTGAGATGAGCCGAAAGAAAACCCCACCCCCTTCTGGCCATAAACCACACCTACCTTACCATATCACTCTCAGTGGAAGAGGAGTAAGGGAAGAGAGAGAAGGAGAGAGTATTGTATGGAAGACGAAGAAAAAGAAAGAGAGATAAAAAATAGAGAGCAAAGATTATGATTCAATCATTAATTATTGTGCACACACACACAGAGTTCGTTCCCAAGGGCTCTTGTACAAGATCTTGGTAAGATAGTCCGAAACACGTTCCTACCTCCAGACAGTGAGCAGTTACTGGAGAGGAGACCAGTGGAGACCAACGATGAAGAGGAGGAGATATCAACCATCACTTGTAAGGACATTGAGACAGGAGGTAACACTGCAAAGAGTAAACCTGATGTTGCTACACCTGAGCAGTCTCTTATATCAGATTTTCAAATCGTCACAAATTTACAGGTAGTGTACTATCCTTATTTTTATCATTCTTGATATTATTGTTAATGAATTTTTAGGGTCAGCTACCTCCTCGTCTTCCCCCGAGGCCACGCCTACCTCCGTTATCTCGGGAAGAATGGGAGAGCTATAGAGAGATTGATGGACGCGTCTCTAAAGAAAATGAAGAGAAGTTTCGTGCAAGAGTATTTGCTGGAGTCAGTCTCCCCCCTCTCTCTCTTAATTTATTCCTTGCATATGTGCATGTACATGTACATGCACCATCAAAATTATCCCTTTTTCTTTTTTCTCACTCAGAGTATCGATCATTCCATAAGACGTGAGGTATGGAAGTATTTGTTGGGATATTTCAGATTTGGTGCAACCGATATTGAGAGGATGGAGGAACAGAAGGCAAAGGAAAGAGAATATGAAATAATGAAGAAGCAATGGGAGTCGTTCCTTCCTCAGCAGGAAGCTAACTTTGCTCGCTGGAGAGAACTTAGAAATCTTGTTGGTAAGACAAAGAAAAATAATTTCATGTTGTTAAATTGCTGCACTTTAATTCTTTGCAGAGAAAGATGTTATTCGTACTGATCGCGATGTGGAGTTGTTTCACAGTGTCAGTAGTCCGCAGTTGAAGCAGCTGCAGAACATTTTGAAAACTTATATAATGTACAACATGGACCTTGGTAAAGACCCCATGTATAATGTACTTGTATTGGGAGAGAGAGAGAGAGGGAGGGAGGGAGAAGAAAGACAGAAATGAAGAGAAAAGAGAGTTTGAATAAACTTAATGTACATGTACACATGTAGTTGTACATGTACACATGTAGTTGTACATGTACAATCACTACAATGTACCTATATACATGTGAGTACTATTGAAACTATTCCTTCATGTTGTTCAGGTTATGTACAAGGAATGAGTGACCTCCTCTCAGTGATATTAGCCATTATGGAGAATGAGGTTGATTCCTTTTGGTGTTTCGTTGGACTGATGGACATGATACACGACCGATTTGAGATCACACAAGAATTCATGAGATTGCGTATCAAGCAACTACGAACGTTGCTTAAGGTATCTGATCCTGAATTCTACAAGTATTTGGGTAAGTAGAATTTTATAATAAAAATGAGACTGAGCTTTGTTATAATAATTAGGAGAGAAAGACTCCAACAACCTGTATCTCTCATTTCGATGGCTTCTCGTTGATTTTAAAAGAGAATTTCAGTTCTCAGACCTCATGATCCTGTGGGAGGTATGTCTAATATAGTGTGTATGGTGGTCATAATTGCCATTTATTAATAGGTTTTTTGGACACTTCACTTGTCACCTGATTATCCATTGTTCTTTGCACTTGCTATCATTGAGAAAGAAAGGAATAACATGATGGATCCTAAATTTGACTTCAGTGACATTATTGCTGTTAGTCACAGAGAGAGGGAGAAAGAGATGAAGTTTACTATTATTTTTTAGCATATAAACGGTCTGTCAAAGAATCTTCAATTAGAAGAGTTGTTAGAGAAAGCTGAGAGTATTTGTCGTCAAGTAGGAGCTGTAGATCATTTACCTGAAGAGTTGCAGCCTTTGGTCAGACAGCCACTTCCTCCTCCTTTCACTTTTCCTTCAGCTAAATGAACACTTGATTATTGTTTTTAATCCTTTTGTGTTGCAAATATATATTTTTATTATGATTAACAAAGAAAGATATGGTCAAACAGAGAGAGTGACCAATTTCTTGTTTTCTTTACTTTTTAACAAAAGTTCCTAATCTGATGTTAGATTTGCATTAGCAGCAGCTTAGTTTATGGCACAAGAACTAATTTTCCTAACAAAAGCTAAAGATTATGTGACTTCATTGCATTTTGCAGTAAGTTACTCATTAGATCAATTTAGAATGGGCTCTATTTGTTTCATCATTCCTACAGTGTGTGAGTGAATGAAATTAGTTGTCTGTGCCATTGATTTGTTTCAACATTCATAGTGCTGCTTGCTTGTTTGTCACAAAATAAGTGAATAACATTACATTTGCAAGGTTTACATTAGCAACAACATCTGATTACACTTCTACACCTACAGCTGATACGGAATTATTAAAAGATTACACAAGCTCAAGCCAGAAAATTTTGAGCATATGATTGCATTACTGTAAATCAAAACAGGAGCCACGATACTTTGATCATGAGTTAACCAAAAAATTCTCATACTGAAAGTGACATTAAGCATAAACATGGACATCATAACAAGCTCATGAGAACTATTATACAATTAGTCTGTGATAATTATGTTTCATACTCTCAATATTATGAAAAAACATGTCTCAGTATAAAAGTAGAAAGCTAAGAAGGCAACAATCACATCAGTATTAAAGAAGAAAGAAATTTGACTGTATTATCCACAAAGGAAAATGAAGTCTTTGTTCCTGCTTTGCATATTTGGGATCTTTGCTTCTGCTAAAAGTAACTATATGCAAGATTTAACTTCATATTTCATAGTGTTATTTTAATCATAATAGGTTGTAATAACACAATTGCAAAAGATTGCAAGGAGTTGCATGAAAATGGTCAAAACTGTAGTGGTGTTTACACCATAAAACCTGATCATTTACCTGCTTTTGAGGTATATCTACAACAATCTATAATGATTATTATGTATTATGCAGGCTTACTGTGATATGAGCAAAGGTGTTGGTTATACTGTCCTTCAAAGGAGAATGGATGGTACAGTCAACTTCTATCAAGATTGGGCCAATTATCTGAAAGGTTTTGGAGACCTCAAAGGAGAGTTCTGGCTGGGACTCGATAAAATACACCGTATCACCACAAGCTGCAACGGTAGCCTGCGTATTGACATGGAGGATTTCGCAGGAGAAAAAAGATCGGCATTCTATTCTCAATTCAGTTTGAAAGGTGCAGATGAGAAGTATTCATTAAAAGTATCGGGTTACTCTGGCAATGCTGGAGATAGCTTGACTCAGCACAATGGTAGGAGATTCACCACTCATGATCAAGACAATGATGATAGTCAAACCGTCAATTGTGCTTTTGCATCTCGAGGAGCATGGTGGTATTCTTCCTGCCATTTCTCAAATTTAAATGGCTTGTATTTGGCTGGCCAACATCCTTCAAATGGAAATGGAGTCAATTGGAGTAGCTGGAAGGGTATCAATTACTCTTTGAGGATTACGGAAATGAAAGTATTAAGGTATTAAGCCTTTTCAAGCTGAACCTCATGTTGAACACTGTAGTTTCTGCTTAGACTAATAGTAGATTTGTCTAGGCTATTATGTAGTTTATGATAATAATATTATTTTATTTTTAATGATAAAAAATTATTATTATCATGAGTCTTTCTTTAAAATGAATTTAAAACTGTTTTTGGAGGCGGGAGCATATGGGGTGTGGCTGTACCAAGTCACGTGACTCATGTGCATAACTTGAGCTAGAACTTAAACCAAGAAATCTAGCAGAATATCTCGAGCAAAATGCCTGGTAGGAAGGATAAGAAGAAAGATAGAGGAGAGAAACCAAAGGGTGGCGGGGGACTGGCCTCGTTTCTTGGCGTTGGAGGGATGCCAGGTAAAGACAGTGAAAGAGAACCTCACTTTATCCAATACTCCTCCTCTCTCTCCTCCCATTATGTTTATACTAGAGTTCAATGATGAGGATTTAGAGGCGGAATTACTAGCCATGACAGGCGGTGGAGTGAGTAAAGGCAAGAAGAAAGGAAGCAGCAGTGGAGGAGGAGGAGCCTCGTTAGCTGATATTGATAAGATGCTGTCATCAGCTCATAAACTGGGAGAGGAGACTGGAGAGGGTGATGATGATGAAGATGATGATATGGATGTTGACGATGCTGATCTATTGGCTGAACTGGTGGGTTGATTATTATTATATGCACACATTGTACTAGTAGAAGATACTGCTGGGCTATGAGTGTAGAAATTTGTAGATTTCTATGAGTGTAGAAATTTGGCCAATGACCCTATACTATCATTATACATGTACACATGTAGTACATGGTCTTTGGCTTAATTTTTGAGCATTAGAAACTATTGATAAAAAATTCAAACTCTATTGGAATCAGCTTAAACTTTCTACACAACATAAGTACATGTATGTGCATCAGAAAATGTAATAAAAATTAGAAATTCTTTCTTAGTCATTTTTGATGAAATTCGGCCAATGACCCTGTACTATAGTACAGGGTCTTTCGCCCGATTTTTAAGCAACTTTGAAAATTCATGAAAAATGTAGTTTTGATCGGAATCAGCTCAAACTTTCTACACAACATAAGTACATGTATATGCATAAGAAAATGTAATAAAAATTAGAAATTCTTTCCTAGTCATTTTTGGCAAAATTTGGCCAACGACCCTGTACTATAGTACAGGGTTTTTGGTCTGATTTTTAAGCAACTTTGAAAAATCATAAAAAATCTAATTTTGATGGGATTCAGCTTAAACTTGATACACAACATACATGTAAGTACATGTATATGCATCAGAAAATGTAATAAAAATGGAGAATTCTTTCTTAGTCATTTTTGCCAAAATTTGACCAGTGACCCTGTACTATAGTACAGGGTCTTTGGTCCGATTTTTGAGCAACTTTAAAAATTCATAAAAAATATAATTTTGATCAGATTCAGCTTAAACTTGATACACAACATAAGTACATGTATATGCATCAGAAAATGTAGTAAAAATTAGAAATTCTTTCCTAGTCATTTTTGACAAAATTTGGCCAATGACCCTGTAATATATATAGTACAGGGTTTTTGGCCAGATTTTGGAGCAAGTTTGAAAATTCATAAAAAATCCAGTTTTGATTGGAATCAGCTCAAAGTTTGTACACATTTAGTGTGCAACAGAACTTCAAATGTGTATCAGAAAATGTAAATTGCATTGTGTGTTGTATTTGATGGTATTTAAAATACTATTACATATTTTTTTCATTTAATAGGAAGGAATGGAAGATGATGATGATGAAGATGCTGATGATTCCATGGAGATTACAGTAGAAAGGCCTCCTGTTAGACAGAAACCTACTCCTCCTGCTCCTGTCAAACCAGCTGGAAAAACTAGTAAATAATGAATAGTATTTATAGCCAAATATCTTTCTCTCTCTTTTTCTTTCTCTGCTTAGGTTCATCAAACAACTTACAGACAGTCAACGAGAGGTTGAGTGCTTATAGATCAGCCTCTGCTGCTGCTAAAGCTAAAGGAGAGACTAGTAAAGTGAGACGGTATGAGAGAGCCATTACATCAATGAATGAAATGGTGAAGGATCTGAAGGCAGGGAAGAGGGTCAACATGGAGGAACTACCTCCTGAGGTTTTTGTACCGTCAGGTGGAGGAGGAGGGGGAGGGGGAGCAAGTGGGAGTGGCAGTTTGGCTTCAAAGGGAAAACCCCAACCAGAAAAGGTTGATGATGATGAGTTTGCTGAGTTGGCAGAATGGGCTGGCATCTCTACTGATAAAGGAAAAGGTAGATTTATTTGATGCTCTATTTAATGCCCACCTTGACTTTGAGTCACTTTATAATATAATATTGGTATACGATTATAAAATTTATTAGATTTAGTTTTTTTGGTCTGCCTTAAATAATGGTGCACTTAAGTTTTCAAAGTGAAAGTATTTGTATTTATTTTGCACTTGAATATTATTACAAGCATCGCTATATCTACTTTTATTTTCATAATTATTTTTCCCCTAGCTGAGGTAGCTGCCCCCAAAGCCA